ACTTCCCACCTGGCTGTGGGTCCTGACCTGAGAGCCCTCAGTCCTGCCGTCTTCCTTCGTCTTGGTTTTTGCAGACTTGTGCAGATGCTGCACACCCTGCCCAGGGCACCCCAAAAGCTGGCTGCCAGGCCACCTGTGGACACTTGGGCAGTCATTTCCTTCCTGTAGAGCCCACCGTGGCTGTGGTGCTCAGGGTTAGGCTTGGCGAGTCTTGGCCTTTCCTGGGCCAGCAGAGCTGTGTTGTGCCCGTTCTGGGCCTGGGGATTTCCCACAGATGGAGGAGATGCAGAGGCAGCTTTGTTCTCACTGGGCCTGGGCCTGGCCCTCTAAGAGGGTTTTGCTTCTGCCCCTCCCCCTGCCATGGTTCAGGTGCCCGCAGGGTCTGTGGGTGTGAATCCTGGGGTCACTGGCCCCAGAATCTCCTCATCCAAGAGGACCTGGAAAGGACCTGCCTAGGATGATGCCACCTAGTGGGCCTGGGTCAGGGTAGGGGCAGGCAGGTATGGGGCTGGATGTGGCAAGAGGAGGGGAGGGCTCCCACAGGTGTGTGGGAGGAACTGCTGAGTCTACGTCTGTGACGTAGACTACTCCCCCATGGGCAGTAGTGTGTCACTTTCACAGCCTCGTGCCAAGGTGTCACAGAAGCCAAGGAGGATTTGCCCCTCCCATCTGCTGAGCTCCCGGAGCTCTGGGCAGGGATCCAGGGCAGGGCAATAGGACAGGTATTGAAGATACCTCAGTGCCCTGTCTGCGGAAGTGAAGTATTTGTTTTAATAAGTGCCAGATCTATTAGGCAAAACCAGTCCTTAAAATCAAACCCTTCCTTTCCTTTCTCAAATTGTGAATGAGAACAAGATCCTGGTTTTTCAGCTCCTTTAGATGCCGAGCGTGACAGAGCCCTGAATGCAGTCTTTCATGGAGCCTTTGGTTTCCAGGAACTGTGCCAGGTTGTGCCAGCTGAATAAAAGACACACTTTGCATCTGCACCTCCCTCCCTTCCTCCGGGGCAGTGCTCAGGGAGGGGCTGCCGGTGCCCCCATCCCAGCAAACTTCCCAGGGGGCTAGATAATGGGGTGGATTTTCCAGGCCACGACTGAGCAGCTGCCCCAGGCCTTGTCAAGGGGCCCAGATGGAGCCAGATTCGGTTCTGCCCAGGCTGAGGGACGGGCTCTCCAGTGCTGTGATGCCCGCTTGTTTTATTTCTTACTTTCATTTTAAGTCCAGATATTTTACAATCCTTTAGAATTTTATTGGCTTTTGAGCACATCATATATGCCTATGGCGTGTCCTCCATTCCCCTGGAGGTGGCCCTGACCAGGCAACTCCTTGTGGACCTCCCAAAGGAGAGCAGGCAGATGTGTACGTCTGAGGACGTCGATGCTGTCTGTGCCCTTCGTGCAGCCCCACATCTGTGTCTGGGAAGTGCTGGGCTCTACCCTGTACTGCTCTTGGTCAGGTGCTAGCCCTTCCTGGCCACCCTTAGGCACATGGAGGGTCCCTGTCCCCAGCTTCCTTCTGGAACCACCCATGTGCCCAGGGTGTACTCTCAGGTGGATCCAAGGAGAAGACTTTTTGCTGTTAGGGCATCTGTCCACAGCCTCTTTTTGAACAATGTCTGGCTTGTCCAGCAGAGGAACAGCTGCCAGGCCTCTGTGGGCTGCCAGTGAGGGAGGCAGAGTAGGGGCAGATCCAGCAGGACAACGTGGGGGAGTTGGCTCAGAGAAGGGGATGCAGGGGCCTCTGCATGGCAGGTCCCACTCCTCAGCCAGATGCTGGGGCAGCCCAGGTGTGCATTGTGATCCAGGTGCTCTCGTGGCCCCACTCCCTTCCCTGTAGGGTGAGTTGGCCTGGTAGAGCTGGCCCACAGCTTGGGCTCCTTTTCTGAGGTGAGGGCCTCCTGCCTGGGAGTTGGCACCAAGGAGAATGCTGGGCTGTGGCTCCCTGATCCCCGAGGAAGGGACTGGGGCTTGGAGGGACCAGCCTCACATGTTATCTGCCCATAGACCCAGCTCATCCAGATGGTGGTATGGATGCTGCAGCACCGGCTCCTCATCCAGCTGCACACCTACGTCTGCCTGATGGCCTCGCCCAGTGAGGAGGAGCCCCGCCCTCGAGAGGATGATGTCCCCTTCACTGCCCGGGTCGGTGGCCGCAGCCTCAGCACGCCCAATGCCCTCAGCTTTGGCTCCCCAAGTAAGCACCCCAGGGCATTTATCTGGTAGTGGCGGGATACAGTTGGGGGTGGCAGCCAGGAGGCCACACATGGGTGCTGCTGGCAGTGAGGGGCCTTCACACAGCTGTGCACACATACGTGCACACCCACCTGTCATGTCCCCTGAGGAGAAACCTCTGTGTCTGAGGGCCCATGAAGAGACAGTGACTGCCACAGTCACTGCTTGGAAGAGCTGTTGTGGCAGCCATTGCCAAGTCTCCAGGCTTGGTTAAGGAAAGGGGCTGGAAGGCTTTGAAAGTCCTTCTGCAGCTGGGAACCGACTTCAGGCTTCATGTAAGGACCCTGCCTTTCTAGGGCACTTGTCCTCCATGTGGGGTGAGGGCAGGATGCCCAGGCATGCCTTGGGGTATGGGGGCACATATCATGCCTCTGTTCAGGCTCTCAAGGCTGCTTCCCTGGGGGAGGCTCCTTGTCCAGATCAACCACATAAGAGGGTTGTCACATCCAGGGTATAGGGGGGCAGTGAGTGCCTAGTGGGACAGGTGGTGCAGCTGGGGCACCAGGCAGGGCATTGTGGGAGTTGGGGGTGTCCCTGGGGGTCTGGCTGCTGGCTCTGCACTCGATGCTCCCCCTTGACATCCTGGAATTCCACCTGGGTGCTGCTGCCACGCTGACCCACACCCACCCACAGCCAGCAGTGACGACATGACCCTCACTAGCCCGAGCATGGACAACTCCAGTGCAGAGCTGCTCCCCAGTGGGGACTCACCACTGAACAAGAGGATGACAGAGAATCTGCTGGCCAGCCTGTCAGAGCATGAGCGGGCGGCCATCCTCAGTGTTCCTGCAGCTCAGAACCCTGAGGACCTGCGAATGTTTGCCAGGTGAGGGCAGCATGACCAAGCGCAGCTGGGACCAGCTGCAGGGTGAAAAAAGAATATAGATAGGGACATACCCAGCATGATCACAAATTTAAATCCACTGACAGTAAATGGTGCTCCTGGTTGAGCACCTGAATGTCTCCAACATTCAGGTGTCTCTACCTGGTACCTGTGTGCAGGGGCAGGTGCCACTGCCCAGGCTTGGGGAATGCAGTTGGCCTGGTGCCTGAGGTGTTGTCTCTGAGTCTCCCAGTACTTCTTAGATGTGTCTTATAACTTGTTGAGAGGCAGCAGTAACTTGTTACCCACAGGGGACTTGGTAGTGATTTGCTCAGGACTCTTAGCCCAGGTGGGTCTAGGATCTCCCACATCATAGGTGATGGGGCTGGATGGTCTCTGTCACCCTCACCCTGATGTGGGGGGCACTATAGGTACATGGTTTTCCAGGAGAGGTTAGGTTAACAGCGTCTGAACCCCCAATGAAGAGTCATACTCCAGGCCCTTGAGAGACCATATGTGACTCTTCTAAGCAGCCGGTCCAGGCCTCACCTGCATCCTGGCTGCTCTGTGCCAGCCCCAGCTACAGAAACCCTCCAGAGCAGTCACCCTGGGTCCAGAGCCATGTTGGATTCTGCTGCAGCAGCACAAAAGGGAAGCCACTGGAAGATCCCTGCCCACATCAGGATGCAGGCTTGCGCAGCCCTAGGTTTGAAGAGCTGTGCGTCCTCCAGGGCCTGCTTCAGGCCCACCTGCTGGTTTTTTGCCCTTGTTGGTGGGGGTCGTGGGGGCTGCCTCCCTGGCTTCCATACCCCAGCTCTCCTCAGGCCTCTGGGCAGCTCAGGGCTGATCCCCACCAGTGGCTGTTAGGCAGAGGCCTTTGGAGGCCAGCCTCAGGCCACACTCATGCCAGCCCCTCCCCTCCAGGCTCCTTCACTACTTCCGCGGCCGCCACCACCTGGAGGAGATCATGTACAACGAGAACACACGGCGCTCCCAGCTGCTCATGCTCTTTGACAAGTTCCGCAGTGTGCTGGTGGTGACCACCCACGAGGACCCTGTCATCGCTGTCTTCCAGGCACTACTCACGTGACCCCAGGCAGAGGATGGAGAGGCTGCTGGGGTGTGAGGGTGGGCGCCAGCCTCTCCCTACTCTAGGGCCCCCTCCCTGCCACGTAGGAGCCCTCTTAGCTGTGGTGTTGGCTGGATGGCCAGCCAGGGCCTGACTGAAGGCCTCAGAACCCCTGCTGTCCTCCCTGCTGCAGGCATTTTGGTCTGGTTCTGCAGCAGCCGTGCAGTGGTACTCTCTTCACTTGGTCCTAGCAGCAAGCCTTAGTGGCAGGGAGCTGGAGGGAGCCTTCCAGGACTCGAGTCTGAGTGGGGCCTGTGTCCCACACAAGTGTGGGCTGTGCCTTTCTGAGACACTCCCCCCAATGCTGGCCCCCGAAGGGAATGTGCAGAAATGCTTGCTTGGCCCATCCTTGCCCCTCTGAGGGCTGCTCACGTGTGAGGTATTTCGTGGCACCCCCTTGCTCAATCACAAACTCTGTCCGCCACACGCTTCTTCCTCCTGGCTTGCCCTGAGCTTTTCTTGGCCCAGCCCTCACTGTGGTCCCATATAAGCCACCAGCAGGCGCATAGCCAAGCTGTAACCCGTCCTGACCATCCAACACTCAAGGGCCTGGGCTGGAGCAGCCCTGTCACTTGTGCACACCCTGTGGCTGGTGAGGTGTGATCTACTGTGCACGAGGCCCACCCTTGGGGGATGTCTGCACGCTTGCTGAGGACTCTTCCCGATACCCACCTGGGGCTGGCACCACACACACACACACTCACACACTCACACACACACACACACACACACTCTCTCTCTCCCCCCCTCTGCCCCCTGCCCCCCCCCAGAGGAAGAGTAGACCCCAGATAATACTGACCACTGGCTGAGACACAACTGTTTTCTAGAAATAAAGAATTTATTTGTTTTTTTAAACATTTAAAAAGTCTTATCTGAGCAGGCCCTTTGCTTAGGCCTGTGCCTCCTGCTCAGCCACTCTGTCCACCACACTGACCCAGGGGCTGCCCCGGATGTAGAAGCGCAGGGGTTTCTGGGCCCACTCCCCTGAATAGCCTATGCCCACCCGGGCTGTTGCCACCACAGCTTGCTCACTGGGCCCCAGGGGGCCACGCTCCAACCAAATGGCCTCGTCTTGGGCTAGGTCTTTCTGGTCAAAGCTCTTGTCGATGGCCAGGGCCTGACACAGCTTGGAGGGACCACTGCAGAGCTCACGGTCCTTGAGGGCACGGCAGGCGGTCCCTTTCCGGAGGGTGGTGCGAAGCTGCCGCATGGTCTCTAGGCCCCCCACGGGCTCCAGTGCGCGCAGCAGGATGCAAGCCCCGTCCCCTGTGGGGCAGACACACAAGCTGAGAGCAGAGCCTCCCTGGGCACACCCAGTGCTGCAGAGGTGGTGCGGCTGCCTTCCTGTGTGAGGCAGGGACCCTGTTCTGCACACGCTGTGCTCACTGCCCTCTGGGTCTGAGCCGGTGGAGGGGTCTGCACCTCACCGTGTCTGGACCCCCCTGCCTGCCTGCCTGCCCCACGAGGCAGCTGTGCTTTCTGTGGGCACCTCTAGTTGCCACCAGTAGGCAGAGCCTCCACCTCTACCCACTGGGAAGCCCCCATGTGGCTGCTCCCATGTAGCCAGGGCAGCCCTGGGGAGTGTTTGACATCAATCAGCCCCTTCTCCCTGGCTTCTCCTGGTCTTGTGATTGGCAGCAGCCAAGAGGCCAGCAAAGGAAGTGCCCGGAGCCAGTCCTCTCCTGAGGAAGGCGGCAGGCACTCTGTCAGGAAGCCTTGGGCCCAGCCCTGATCCCTAGGCAGGCCCCAGGGCTCCTCATCTGCCTCACCCACTCAACATCAGTGCTGGGCAAGCCAGGAGCTTGGCCTGGAGCAGCCACCAGTGTGCACAGGAGGCTGGGAGAGCCCACTCAGACTGACCGCAACACCCTCTGAAGGCACGGAAGGGGATGCCAACAAAACCCCCTCACCTCCCTTGGGGTGCCCCCAGCACAGCCCCCTCCGTCACCAATACAGGCCACTCCAGAGGCTAGAATTGACACTCCTGGGCCCAGAGGCTCACTCAAGGACACAGGTGTCCAAATTCCCACTGCTGTGCATGTCTAGGAAGGCCCCTCAGATTCCTGGCTGGGGACAGTGTTGATGTGGACTCTAATCAGAGGAGCCCTGACCCTCCAGTGAGGCACCTGCTGAAACTCACCTGTGCGTCCCTGGCCTGCCTAGCTTCTGGGAGTCCAAAGGCTCAGCTGGAGGGTGGCCAACACAGTCCCTACTCTGGGGCCTCCACAGCACTGGGGGCCAGCCCTGAGTGGACAATGCCTTACCCTTCGGCATAGCCAGCAGCTCAGCAAGTGCAGGGTTCTTGTGAGCAGACACCCCTTAACCAGCCAGTGTTCAAAGTATTGCAAGATAAATCAAAGCCAAGCAAAGCCTTGAAGTTCCAGTCCCTCTGTGATTCCCATGCTGCTCCCAGCTCATCAGGTAGAGGTTCCTCTGTGCCCATCCTGAGCCACCTCAGCAGAAAGGGGCAGGACACATGTCCACCACTGTCTCACTGAGACCCCCCCTCGCAAATGAGACAAAGGAGCAGCCTGGCCACACCCCCTTCACGGTGCTCCTTTCCACAGAAGGCATCTAAGTCCTACATCCTGACAAATAAAAACACAACACGTTGGCTCTCTTCCTGCCAGACTTCCATATCCTCAGCCCTACTCCTCCACTCACCCTGACCCCACTTTTGGCACCCTCATCCTCATCTTGGACCAGCTGCCTTCATCCCAAGGGCAGGTGACAGCTATGTCCTGGCCTCCCTTCACCTCCACTCCACCTGGATGACCCTGACCCTGACTGTCTGCACTCATGGGGGGGGGTCCTGCTCTCCAGACCTGGACTTTCCTGGAGCATCTTGGTCACACATCCAGAAATTACAGACCATACTCCTGCCTCTGCCCTGTCCACCATTCCCCAGGACCCTGGCCTCCTCCATGGGCCATGGCACTGAGCATTTCCGTGTTCAGTCTCTCTCCCTCCTATGAGATCAGTCTTACCTCACACGAGAGGCTGGTTCCACTGCCAACACAAAGCCCCAGGACCAAACTCTCCAAGGTATTCAAGGCCCTCCAGGAGGGGCCCCACCCTCTTTGGATGTCCAGTCATTCAGTCTCACTCAACACCTGCTTGTGCCAGGCCAGGGCCAGTCCTGGGGTTCCCAAATCCTTCACCCCCATGGCTCTTACAGTAGACACCCCCAGCTGCCTGCAGGTGGTGACAGTTCACACATCACCGTACTCATTCAACAAGTGTATGACCCACAACATGACAGACCCTGAGCCGCTCACTGGCCTCCCCAAGCTCATCTTGGGGTGGGTGGGGAAGGCTCAGCAGACATGCTAGGTCTGGCCAGCCAGCATGGGCCAGACAGACTCTGCTTCTGGTCAGCAGTGGCTCTGACCCTGCCTGACCTCTTCCTCCTGAGATAGACCACCAGGAACACAGGGTCACATGTTCACCAAGGACAGAGCCTGCCTCAGAGCTGGACCCACAGGGGCAAGTGTATTCTACCATGAGCTCAAGACCCCCACCTCCACTACTGACTTTTGGGGCCAGATGATTCTCTGTGGTGGGAGCTATCCTTTGTGTTACATGGTGCTGAGCAGCATCCCTGTCCTCCACCCACTGCATGCCAGTAGCACTTCTCAGGTGTGATGACCAAATGACCAATGTCCCCTGGGGGGCAGAATCTCACCTGGTTGAGAACAACTGATTGAGACCCCATCCATAATGGGCCACCCAAAATTGATCTCACCCATTTTCCCATGACCAGCCCCTGCTGAATCTACCCCAGTGCCATCTTTGACACCAACTCCAAGTTCTGGAACTAGCAGTGGCCGCCTGAACCTGTCTGCTCTGCATTCAGGGGCAGCCCTTGGCCTCTTTCCTGTGGGGGCCCCCAGCCCCTCTAACCAACCTTGCTCCATCCATGCAGCCAGAGCTCCCAAACCTTGCCCTGGCAATGGCACCTCCTTGCTCCAATACCCAACCCATCCAGTCCCCCTGGAGGTCCCCTGGCTGCTAGCTGAGAGGACCCTGCCAGCCCTCCTGCTCCCCCAATTCCTGGCACCCCAGCACTGCTCACCTCGGCTGGAGACGTTCATGCAGAAGTACATTCCATAGATGATGTACACATACAGGGTCCCCGGCTTCATGAACATGCCTCGGTTGCGAGGGGTCTGCCGGCCACCCCTTGAGTGGGCGGCTTCATCCTCTGGCCCCAAGTATGCCTCGGTCTCCACAACACGGCCTCGGAGCTCTGTGCCATTGGCGAGTCGCCGGACTAGGACCTGTGGGCAGTCAGTTTGTGCACAGGACAGGAAGGGATGGGTCCACCCACCCTGACCGTCCCCAGCCTGGACCTCATCTACCAGCTGAGGATGTGCCAGGTGCCCAGTTCCAGCCAGGGCCTTGCCTCTGCCATCTCCATCACCCTGCCTCTTGCTCCTGCTCAGAACCTGGATGCTGCCATTCTAGATATCTCCTCCAGCCCTGCCGGACCAGCAGACTGCAAGCCTCGCTCCAGAGTCCTGACCACAGGTTGCAGCCACCTCAAGCTCCAGCTGGGACTGGGCTGGAAACCAGCACTTGTGGATTCACCATGCAGGTCAACCTTCAAGTCCTCTCAGTGGGACCCTCCATTCCCCTACTTCCTCCTTTCCCAAAGAGGCCTCTTCAGAGAACCATAAACACTTAGCATGAGGCCAGGTAGCATGAAAGGCACAGGGCCCCAGGGGTGTCCCCACACAGCCTCCTGGGACCTTCCAGAGCCTGAGGAGTGCCCCCACCTGGGCTATAGAGACAGCAACAAAGGATATGCACACCCAGGTCCCACCCTCTGCTCTGAAGCCTTTCTGAGCAGCAGGACCAGCTGCCTCACAGTGCCCAGCCTGGACCATGGTGCTGGGAATGGCCAGCAGCTGTGCTCCAGTGCCCGGAGCCCCAGGTCTCCATAGCTTCACAGCAGAGCTTTGGGGATCAGCCACATTCCTAGTACCTGTTTTGTCCCTAGGCCAGAGGGGTCACTGGGATGCCAGGCCACTTTGCCTCAGCCCAGGAAGCCATGTGGTGCCTCAGGCCATGGTCAGTACTACAGGACAGGAGGAAGAGCACTGGGACTTAGATGCTCATGGGGAAGCATTCGGGAGGCCTTCTAGGAGACAGCCTGTGGCAAAGAAGGGGCCAATGCCTGTGCTGGAAGCCCAGAAACCCCCTTGGCATCCAGACTCCTGAGTACAGGAGCGAAGGGGCCGGGCTTGGCAGACCATCTCCAGGGGAGAGAAGGACAGGAGCTTGGCTTCATTTGGCATGCTTCCACACAGGGCACACTGGGGGCCCAGCCACCCTTCTGCAGAGGAGATTCCCATGGCCCTTTTCTCAGTTTTCTTTTCCATCCTGATTTTCTTGCTTTTCTTGAGACAAGGACTCGCTCGCTCTGTCACATAGGCAGGAGTGCAGTGGCCTCATCATAGCTCACTGCAACCTCAAATTCCTGGGCTCAAGTGATCCTCTTGGTTCAGCCTCCCAAGTAGCTGGGACTACAGGCACATGCCACCATGCCCAGCTAATTTTTCTTTTTTTTCTTTTTTTTTTTGAGACAGAGTCTCACTCCGTAGCCTGGGCTAGGGTGCCGTGGCGTCAGCCTAGCTCCCAGCAACCTCAAACTCCTGGGCTCAAAGGATCCTTTTGCCTCAGCCTCCCGAGTAGCTGGGACTACAGGCATGTGCCACCATGCCCAGCTAATTTTTTCTATATATTTTTAGTTGTCCAATTAATTTCTATTTATAGTAGAGACGGGGTCTCGCTCTTGCTCAGGCTGGTTTTGAACTCCTGACCTTGAGCAATCCACCCGCCTCGGCCTCTCAGAGTGCTGGGATTACAGGCGTGAGCCACCGCGCCCGGCCTAATTTTTCTGTTTTTTATAAAGGTGTGGTCTCACTCTTGTTCAGGCTGGTCTTGAACTCCTAGCCTCAAGTGAGCCTCCCACCTCAGCCTCCCAGAGTGCTGGGATTACAGATGCGAGCCACTGAGCCCCACCCCCAACCAGATTCTCTGATCTGAATTTCACTCTGATATCATTTCCACCAATGGCAGATGTTGGCTGCCTCTTCCCACCCACCCCCAATTACAAGCACACATACCTCCTCCTAGCTGGCAGAAGGTCCTGGGATTGAGGGAAGCAATACCCTTCTCAGCCCAGGAGGCAGTCTGGGTTGTCATGGCAACTCACTACAATGACCCTTTTAGGGATGTGTGACCCAAGCCTGGCTGAAGAGTCTGTGAGGGCATCCACTGGGAGCTTATGGAAAAGTGGTCTTCCCTGATCAAAGGGACACACAGGGTGAGACACCCTCTTCTCTGTTGGATGCCATCTTGTCCACTGATGGGCTCCCGTGAACACGACTACAGCCTAAAGGGAAACTCTACAACATGCCGAGAATGCTGAATAGAGACAGAGGAATGGGGGTCCTTGCCACCGCCCTTGGGGCCTTGACCCAACCCTGGGATGCTCCTGCCCCATGTGCTGTTTTATTGTCTCATAAATGCCATATTTAAGGTGCTTTCAGAAGGATCCTCATGGGGACAGAATCTTGTCTCTTCTCCACTAGGTCAAGCCCACATTTTAGGGTCTGTTCCTTTCAGCCCCCAACTCCTGGCACTGGTTTTTCTACTAGTCACAGAAACTGGCTCTTCTTGGCTATTTTAACCTAAAATTAAAGGACAAAGGGTAGGCCCTAGAATCTCTAGGAGAACCAGAAAGCCAGGCCCGAAGCTTTGGCACCCAGCATCACCTAGATACTGCTCCAGACAGATCTGGCCAAGACTGCAGAGTTGCAGGCATTCACGTGTGGTGACAGGCTGTACTGCAGAACCTGGGTAGTCCGGATGGGCCCTGGGTAGTCCCTGCTTCCCACTCCAAGTCTGACTGGCAGAACCCAGACCCTGGACCTACACTGAGCTGCAGGGGCCCTGGGAAGCCAGCATGGCACTACAGGGGGAGGGAAGTTGTCTCAAGGGGATTCCAATGCCAGGCAGCCCAATGGTGGCCACAGCCACAGTTCTCACATCTAAAAACTGTCATTACTGAGACAGGCCCCAGCCAGGGCACTGACTGTGTCATGGGACAGGGTGGGCAAAGACACTAGGGGACTCACAGATGCCCTTGCAAGTAACTTGCCCTGAGGCCAATTACAGATAGAACATGGATAAGGCTATTTCCCAGGTGAGAAAGGCTCATAGTGCAACCAACTACTCCTGTCCTTGATGCCCAAAGCAGGAAGGCAGACAGTGGCACCCCTCCACCCTGGGCAAATAGCACTAACAATCTCCACATTCTTCCCAGATGACTGAGAGGAAGCTATCCAGGGGCCAGGGTGTACATGAGGACAAGAGGGTTCCCCGAAAGCCAAGCCAGGGAGGTAAGCCCCAGGGAGCAGGCTGGGCCCAGGGGTGCCTGCACGGTGATGAGCACTTCACAAGAAACCACATGCTATGTTCACATTACCTGTCCCAGAAATGCCCGGGCTAGGGGGACTGCCGGCTGGTCGAAAAACTCTGACCCCAGTCGGGTAAAGTGGCCCTTAGGGCTTGAAAAATAGATGCTGCGTTGAGGGCCCAGGGTTGTGGGCAATCCCACATAGGGGTCCTTGGGGGAAGGTGACTGGGCTGCATCTGATGGGCTCTGCAGCTGCTCTGCCTCTGCCAGTCGCTGTTTTTTTTGCCCCGTCCTTCGGGAAGGCTGTAATGGGAAAGAAAAAATTAAGCATCTGAATAGGAGAGGACACTTTTGTGGTGAGTTCAGGCTCAGGGAGCTCAAGGACCAGATTTGACCACCTGCTTCAGTTTCTTCATCTGCAAAGTGGCAGTGACCACCTGTGGGCTGTCAGGAGGCACACACAGAATGCCACACCTGACACACTCAGCCTCAGAGGCATGTGTTGATGTGCTACAGGGTGGCCACTCTGCTGCAGGTACCCTGCACACGTGTGAGATGCATGGCATGGGGGTCCAGGGCTGCAGGGTTGGGGAGCCTGATAGTGGGACAGGTAAACTGATTCCCACTCATCATGTGGGCCAAGTAAACTTCTGAGCTAGTTTCTGGAACCCTGCCTTTTGTACCCAACCCTGACCAGGAGTTTAAAAACACATCCAGGACCTCAGCAGACCTGGCTCAGAAACAGATTGTGAGTTTCACCTCTTACTGTCTGGCTGACACAGGCTCCCATTGTGCCAGACTCCTCAAAATGGCCCAGAAGGCCTGACACACAGAGATGGCCAAGCATGGAGCGGACCATCAGCCTGGCCCCCATCCGCGGTGCTTGGGGAATGACCCCGGGGGGCCCCCAACTGTCCTCTGCTTCATTGCCCAACATAGAAAACAATGTACAAGTGGGCAAAGGCAGGTCTGCTGAGGACTGGGAGGGTCTGCTAAGACCCAGCAGGCTGTCCACAGCCCACTTGCCACCACGTGGCCAGAGGGAACCTGGCCACACATCCATAGCTGTTCTGGGGAAGCCAGTCAAGGGGGGGCGGTCTTTAACGGTATCCAAGTCTTCCTGGCATGTGAGAGACCCATTATTTTTAACATAAGTGCTGACGTCCATGGCGAACCGAGACCTCGGGCCAGCCGGCCGGGAATGGATACTGACGTGACCGTCTCCGCAGCCGGGCTCGCTCTGCCAACACTCGCGGTGGGCTCAGACTCCGGGACGCGGCGGCCCCTGCTCTCACCCCGACTTTGGCTCTTGGCGGGCCCCAGGCACTCGGGCCACTCTGGACCCCTGTGCTGACACCGTCTGCGCGGCGGGACTAGGAGGGCAGCGGCGGGCGTCCATCAGGGCCGGCCGGTCCGCACGGCGCTGGTCCTCCGCGGGCCTGGCTCCGCAGCTCACGGGCCGCGCCGCTCGGGGCACGCGCGTCCGTCTCGGCTGTCCGAGAAGCGCGCTCACTTGGGCGCGCACTCACCTGGGACCCCCTGCGCGCAGGCATCCGGCGGCCGGGGCCGGAGGAGCCGGGGGTCCTACCCCGCAAGGAGCCCAGCCCGCGGCCAACTCCGGAAGCGCCGCCGGGACCGCGGATGGAGCCGGCGCGTGCGCGGAAGGGACGGAAGCCGGGGGGCGGGGCGGCGGGGCTCCGCCCCATGCGGGCCACGCGGAGGGGCTCACTCCCGCCTCCCGCTTCCCATTGTGGACTAAGGCGGGGGCTCGTGGCGGGAGGAGGGACGGGGCGGGGCGGGCCCCCCCCCAGTGTCCCGGTGCCGCTCCCCGGGACCCGCTCTCTGCCCCCACCTGCGTGCCCTGGTTACCCCGCGGCCTCAGAGCCCCCTCCACCAGCCGATGGTCGGACTGCCGAGAGGACGAGTCGGTCCTGAACCGTGCCTGGGTCCTCGAGGGGCCCGGATGGGGCGTCGTGCTTCGGCGTAGGGGCGGGCCGCGGGCGTTCGGTGGGCGCCCTGGTCCTTGGAACCTGCCTCCCCGACCTAGGGGGGCATTTGCGTGGAGATGGCGGGGCGGGCCAGGGAGTCTACAAGGAAGTGGACGCTGGGCCTATGCGGAAGCCCCCGCCCCTGGGCCAAGGTCCTCACAGGCCAGTGGGAGGAAGGAAAGAGGGAGCAGCGGGACGGTGTGAGTGGAGCCCCCATCCCTCTCGCCCACGTACTGGGTTGGGTGTGCTGGAGCGCGGCCGGCCGCAAAGGCTGAGGCCAGGACTCGGGCTGTGGGGGCCGTGAATGCCAGCCTGGCAATGCAGCTGCCTACGCCTCTGATGACCCCAAGACCCAGCGCCTGCCGCCACCTTACCTGTAACCTCTCCAGCCAGATTGGTGCCCTCAGAGAGGGGAAGGGGAGTCTGGGGAGCGCCGTGCCTGGCTCAGAGGAAAGAAGGGCCCAGGGAGGGAGCCTGAAGGGAGATGGGCCCACTGCACTGCTGGTTCCTGTGGCTCTGTGGCGGCCCCTACCCCACTCTGCAGTTCAGGGTTTATCTGAGGCTCCAGGGACCTCTGCTGTGGCAGCAACAATCTCTCTCCCACAACCCACCCTTGCCCTGTAAAAACCCTTGAGGGACTTGTCCTGAGCTGTCTTTGATTACTGTGACCCTGGCCCTGGAAAGGGGTACCTGAAAGGCCTCGAAAAGCAATTGGGCATTTAGCAGTGTCAGATATTAGGTGCTGGGCAGGACAGAGGCACAGGCCATGTTTCTGGGACCCTCAGGTGAGTGTGATACCTGGTCCTGTGGCAAGACCAGCAGTGTAGGACCCTGATCTCCAATGTTTTTCCTCTTCTGACCAGCTCAGGGACTGAACTCTGGCCTAGGCTGGAGCCCAGCTGTCCCACCCCATGAGCCCCAGCAAGGACTTCCTGGGGAGGGAGGGGTGGGGCTGCCAGCTGCCTGCTGGAAGCCACCCAACTGTGTGTGGCACCGTGTGAGAGGGAATGTGTCATAAATCCATGTTTATGAGGCAGGCCTGGATGTGACCCCGCCCTCTTCCTTGTCCCCTGCACCCAATGACTCCCTTCCTGTGGGAAGAGCATCCCCATCCTTCCCCCACAATCTAGGAGGGAAACTGAGGCCCCCACTGGACCTATATCTTCCTGATGGGAGCAGGGAAAGAGTGGGTGTTGTTTTGTATTTCGTGCTAATATTTATTCTGATTTCACAAGTGGTGCCTGGTCCTTGTAGAAATCGTGGAGAGTCCTGAGGCTCCCAGAGAGGTGTTTTATCTCTACCTTTCAAATGAGGAAAGAGAGACTCATTGGTGGGTAGCCTGGCCCCTGCCAGGAGGAGGAGCTGGGGCCAGTGCCAGCAACCCACTTCTCCAGATGTTCTGGCCTGAATGGGGTGGGGGACTTGCGCAATCTCTGCTGCCTCCCCCACTACCTCCCCTCCTCCCCACTCACTTCCTGGTTTGTGGTCTGTGGCCAGCTGGAAGTGGTGGGCTGAGCATTCCCATTGTGGATTGCAGACCGAGCAGGCAGGCTGGCCAGGGGCAAGAGAAGGTGATGCCAGTCGAGAGGAAGGGACCTGGGGCCTCCTCTGTCCCCAGTGTGCTCTGCTGCTGGGATGGGAGAGGCTTGTTGGAGGAGGCAAGGATATCAGTGGAAGATGGAGGTGAGGACACCCTTGATACTTTGAAAGGATTTAAGGCTGGGATCAGTGCTGGGGTGAGCAGCTGTGTGCCCCTTGCTCCCACCCACAAAGGCTGTGGAGGGGCTGCCGCTGTCTCCAGCTATAGGGAGTGAGACCATCGATCACTGGAGCCTTTATAAGCAAGGCCTTGAGGGATGGTGGCTCTACTGGCCACAGAGGCCAGGGTTCCAGTACTGACCTTACTGTCCCGGGGTGCCCAGCACACTGGCTCAGTGTCCTCTTTAATGGAGAGGTGGCCGACAGCTATTGAAGCAGGGCTCTAGTCGGCTCCTACACGTCTGCTGTGAGCACCCATCTGGCAGCTTCTCAGCAGGGTGGCTGCTGGCCTCCTGGCCGGCCTGTGGGGCCCTCTGTGTCTGGTGGGCCCTGGGAGGGTCAAAAATTCCTTGGGCAGAGAGGACAGCTAGTAAGCAGGCTGAGGAGGGGCATGAGGGCTGCACCCTCCTTCCTGGGGCTATGCAGCCCTGGGCCCAGGTGGCTGTGGGACCCCTTGCCAAGCCCTGGGCCATGGGGAGGGGGCAGTTGCCTCAGAAATAGCCCATGACTTCAGGCCACTGGCTGGCCTGGCCGCTTCTGCCTCCTCCCCAAATAGCCAGGGGCTGGTCCTGGCCTCATTCCTGCAGCTTTGCTCCCCAGGCTGGGGCAGTTTCTTTTGATCCCCCCACAGACCCTCCAAAGCCTAGGGAATGGCCCCTGGGTGATTACTTGTGGTCTGGAAACTGAGCTGAGGATTCCAGGGTAGCTGTTGGGGATTCCTCTTACGAGTCAGGGTGGCTCCCACCTCCTCATGTCCTGGAGTGAGGTCCACAAGGCCTGAGGGAGATCCAGACTGAAGTGTCCTCAGACGCAGCTCCAGGAGTGCTAGGCAATTGTAGCTGACTTTCATTTCTCCAGGGTGGATGAAGGGAGAAGAGAGGTTTCCATGTGGGGGGCTCCTCCACCAGAACATACGGTAGTAGGGCAGGCATGAGGCAGAGCACATGTATGTGCACACACGCATGTCAGTGTGAACTGGGTACAGGCCTAAGTACACAGGTGTCAGCCATGCTCTGCTCACACCATCCTTCTGATGCCCTCACTCAGGAGGGCAGAGTGGGCTGAAAGCCTGGAGACTCCTGGACAGACTGGGATGGGGGTTTGCCTGAAGGGGTGCATGTTCTTGACAGCAACACTAATGAGAGCCAAGGGAACAGGGTTTGCAGCAGAGGCTGCTGTGGGTCCCATGGAGCTTGGGGACTGCAAATCTCCTACTGCCTTAGAAGGTATCCTTGATAAACACAGTGGGAAGCCTTTTACCTGTCTCCAGATGCAGACTACCTTCTCTGTGGAGGGCACATGATTTTGGACAGGGCAATTCTGCACTGAAGATGATTCCTGGGTAGGGGTGTGTCTCAGCTGTGGCTGGTGCTCCTGGCAGCGGGGAATGAGCGTCTGGGTCTTGAAGTGGGTCTGGGTGGTGCCCTACAGTATCCATTGCAGGAGGAGACCTGCTGACACCAGATGCCTAGTTGTGGCATGCTTTGGAGGCAAGCCCTGTCCCTGCCTGGCTTCCCAGAGAGGACACCACTGCCAGCCAGTCTGGGCATCCAGGCCCAGCAAGGCTTGCTTATCCCTGGCAGGGGTCAAGAATGCTAGGCCTGGAGACTGTCCTGTCTCTGGCTGTGAGCCTGGCATGGGAGGGACACGTGCAGACTGCAGAGCCCTGAGCATCGGCACCAGGCAGGCTCCCTCTTACCTCATGTCCCTGAGGCACCAGCGGTGTCTTCCCCCCAATGAAGGAGCTCCTCTCTACCCCCTCCAAAGCTTTCATTGCCCCCTTCTACTGAAGAATTGTGTTGCTATCACCTGTGTCCACAGAGGACCCACTATGTGCAGCAGACACATTCCTACCACCCACCCCCATCTCATGGTATGGACAAGGATTCAGGCAGAGGATCTGCCACTTGCCTAGGCTCTGGTACCTACCAGTAAGTGTACCACCACCTTTGGTTCAAATTGTCAACTTTATTTTCAGTATAGCCAAGGACCAGGCCATTGTCTGTAGTTGGGCACTGGATGCACCTTTGGTAGCAGCAACTCAGTTCTGAGGGAGCTGGTGCCACCTGGTCCCAGAGGATGTGGTTGAAGCAGTCACACACAGCACAGGGCCTGAGGACATGTTTGTGGACCCTTCAAGGCCTGAGGGCACCTTGAAGGGTCCTTAGGGACCTGTAGCAAGAAAGGACCCCCTGGCACCCACTACCCAGAGGAAGCCTGGGCCCTTTTACCACTCATAGCTCCTGGACAGCCCAGCCTGTAGCCTGTTGTTGGCACCCCCACTCCCTATTCTTTTTTTTTTTTTTTTTTGAGATACAGTCTTACTCCATTGCCCAGGTTAGAGTGAAAGCCGTGGTGTCAGCCTAGCTCACAGCAACCTCAAACTCCTGGGCTCAAGCGATCCTACTGCCTCAGCCTCCTGAGTAGCTGGGACTACAGGCATGCGCCACCATGCCCAGCTAATTTTTTTCTATATATATTAGTTGGCCAATTAATTTCTATTTATAGTACAGATGGGGTCTCACTCTTGCTCAGGTTGGTTTTGAACTCCTGACCTCAAGCAATCTGTCTGCCTCAGCCTCCCAGAGAGCTAGGATTACAGCTGTGAGCCACCACTCCCGGCCCCCACCCCCTATTTTCTCTGGTGGGTCAGTCCACCCAGTGTCCAGAGACAGAAATGCTAGGGACTCCCCCCAGCAGTCTCAGCTAAAAGCAGATGGGCCATTTTGTATCCAACTCAGGGCAGGGATGAGCCCCCAGGGGTGATGGTTGAACTCTGCGATAAAGGGAAGAGAAGAGAGTGGACACCAGAAAGCGTACTGCCACCTCCACTCAGTGGGTTCAGGAGGGCTAGGTGAGGCCTGGCTCAGAGCACCTGCTGGGGGAACAGGGGCTTGGGGTAGGGGTAACTGCTCTGATCCTGACCTGGGTGTGATCAAGTGTATGCATGAACTTCGAGAGTGCACACACGTATACGAGTGTGTACAGTTGTGTGTGTGCACATGTGTGAATGTGTGAGTATATACCTATGAAGGTGTGTGCGTGAGCTAGGTGTGTGCATGTGAGTCTGTGTGTACAAACAGGCGTGTGAGCATGTGCATGTGCAAATGAATGAATGCACAAGCTGTGTGTATGATTGTGAGTGATGAGGAGCGTGTGCACATGGATGTGTATGAGGGAATGTGAGTGCTCACGAGGGACTGGGTGTGTGTGAGATAAATGATTTGTCAGTGCCGGCCTTTGGAGGAGGTTTGAGATTCCGTTTAAGGGGATCCAGGGTCACTCTCCCATCCCCCACCCTCTTCCCCCTTTGTGCCCCTCCTGCCTCACCTTCTCAAGCACAGATCTAGGCAGGATGAGGTAGCGACTCCCTCTGGAGTCAGAGAGAAGCTGAAAAGCCCAGGACTGCTGTAGACCACCAGATCCCCCCAGGCCTTCCCTCCTAGGCCCAGGCGCTTGTGAGCCGCAGCCACAGGTGTCCCAGCGGCCGGGCCCTGCGGAGTGCGGAGCCCAGCGGCCTTCCTGGAGGAGGCGATTTCGGCCAGGCAGGCGGGCGGCGCGCATTCCTGAGCCCTGAGTCAGCGCAGCCGCCCCCTCCGGCCGGGCCCGCCCCCGGCGCGCACGCCCCTCGCTCCATGGCATTCCCGGGAGGGCGGGCCGGACCGGAGGGCGGGCGGGCGCGGGCGGGGACTCGGCGCGGGCGCCCTCCGGGCCAGCGGCGGCGGCCCCTCCCCGACACCCTCGGGACCCTCCGAGGACCCCGGCGGCGGCGGCGGTGAGCGGGCGCGGCCGGGAGCGGGGCGCAGGGTCCGGGCGGGGCGGGTTCCGGCTAGGCGCCGAGCTCGGGGCCTGTCCTCCGCCCGCCGCGCCCGCAGCTGCCCCGAGCGGCGGGGTCGCGGCGGGGCCGGCGCAGGACGGTGCGAGCCGCGCTCCAGGCGGCCGGACTTTCCTTCCCGGAGTGTCCCGAGCCTCTGGCGGCGGCGGCCCGGCCCGGATTCCTCACCCGGCGCGCCGCAAAAATAGCCCGTGGCCGGATTAGCGTGTCCCGCGGCCTGACCCGGCCGGACAGCTCGGCTCCAGGTCCCGCCCGGCAGCTGAGGTCCCGGGAGCCGGAGGGCTCGGAGTCCGCGGCGTCCCTGGTTCCTCCGAGCCCCCCCACGTTTTCCTTCCCTGCCGCCGCCGGTGGGTGGTGTCTCCCAGGCGAAACTCCAGCTCAGAGGGTGGGACTTCTCGCACAGTCCCTGTCCCGGCCGTCCTCACCCGGTGGGAATAACAGCAGCAGCTGTGGGGCTGGGGGCGCTGACCCTCCTTGTGCTTCACGGGCAGCCCCTCCTCCCCACCTGGAAGCACTGAAATCCAGGGTGGGCTGGAAGCGCCTCCCAAAGACAGCCCCCCACGCTGTGCTGGGGTTGAAGCAGGCCTTCTCCCTGCCGGGGTGACAGCCAGACCCCAGGCGCTCAGGGCACTGGGCAGAGCCTGGCTGTCTGCCTTGCTGGGCGCATGTTTGTAGGGCTGGGTAGGAACCGGCAGGGGATCCCCCACCCAGGCCTGCCCCCAGACCGGATGGTCCTGACCAGAGTTCCTTCTTTGGTGTCAGCTTGGGGTTGTGAGTCTGTGTCTGTCCGGGTGGGTGGGGCCTGGGTCTGTTGGCCCTAGCCCTGTGCTGGGAAACCCCCCCACCCCCGCCTTGGGACTTCCTGTTGGAGACGAGGAGAAGATTCAAGGATGAAACTGGCTTTTCAGGTTTGACCCAGCTAGATGCCTAGGCAATCCCAGGCTGGGTTCTCCCCACCCCCACAGAGCCAACCTCAGCCCCATAGCCCCCCCCCCCAGCCCAAGGTTAGGAGGAAGCTGGGGAACCAAGCAGCTGGCTGGGGCTCAAGGGGTCCCTGAGGCTGAGCCCGCTGCCACCAGGGGTCACTGTG